TGAGGATATTTACAAACATGTATCTGATATAGTCTCAAATATTTAGTTTTTTTATAGGATAATGGTGATAAAACACAGTCTACCACACACACATACACACACACAGTCCATCTGATGTTAAGTAACTGCTGTGGTGCATAGACGTCCACATCTATCCTCGACTACAAATCAAAATGCAGATGCGTTGTCACCCGTGTGGAGTAAGATGGAATGCCTCGTTTCCTGTAAAAGAGGTCTCTCTCATACAAAATTTGTACAAAAATTTATCCAAAATTTGTCAATAAACAAGTTTAAATGTTTTATTAAAGAAAAATTTTATAAAAAGGTTATTATAATATCAAAGAATACATAAATGAGAATATTGGAAATACTGGAATTGAGGTGATCGCCACCATGGTGGTTCTATTAAAATTCATTTAAAAATTGTACAAATAAAATTATTGTTAAGAGAAATATGTTTATAAAAAAGTCCCGCTGGGTTTCTTACTAGTTCTTCCCAGGACTGAGGTATTTTCCGAACCAGTGGTAAATAAAAAATGTCTTTCAATAAGTATTCTGTAATAATCTATATTTAATAAAAATCATTCTATTCTATTTTCATTCTATAAACTCACCATAATAAACACAGCAGCATTAAGCTGCTATTTAACTTGTGTTTTTCTGACTTTCTAATAAAAATATTTGTAACTCTAATTTTCTAATTTTTAGGTTAGCTATTTTAATATTGTATTTATGTTCCTCTTCCATCATTTCCAGTTGTCTTTTTTTAAAATCTGTGTTACTTTTTACAATTGTTTGGTGTACATCTTCTCTTCTGTAAAATGAAATGGAATACTTAATGTAAGTTTTGTAGTTATTTTAGAAATTTACAAAGTATTCTAGAGTAATAAAAGTGCACTTAACCTTGTACACCAATTAAAGAAATATTTTTTAATTATTTTTAAATCAATTCATATTAAACTTTGCTTTTAATATTTGAAAACATGAAACAATTTTCAGTGTTTAAATACTAATTTTCACATTTTAAAAAGTATGTAATGTATCAGACTATGTAATTTTTTCAACATACCTATTTTGCAAGCTATTTTTCCTGTTTTTAATTTTTGTTATACCCCTAGTAATAATATCTTTATTGTTGGTTATTTTCACCATTTTGGCACTTTCTTCTGTATTTGTAGTTGGATCTATCTCTAAAAATTAATATAAATATAACAGTTTTAGAAAATTAACATTTATAATATTTACAAACTTGTATGCATATGATTGTAACTATAATAATAATATATTTTGCTTTTTAATAAATATTCAATCAGTATTATTTACCTTGCACATATACAACATTGGGTTCTGGATTTTCTACATTTTTAACTATAGCTGTGTCTGTTTTTTCAAAATTAAGGCGAGGCTTAGGGTCAGCAACTTCTTTTGATGTTGTAGCCACAGTCACTGGATCCTAAAATAAATCATTAAAACATTTATTAACATGTTTTCCTGTCACCTGTCATCTCTATTTTGCCCTTTATTGAATCAGGTATTTTCTATGTTGTAGAAATATTATTATGATCCAAGACAAAAGGTAATTTAATAAATTATTAATTATAATACCTAATAGAAAATTATAATCGGACTGTGTAGATAATCTAGTAAAATGTGTGTTATGATATTATATAGACCACTATATATGAATTTGTGACATTTCAATTTTGAATATAATTAATTATAAAGGAATTTATGTTAAATTGTTACTAAGTATATTAAATTTTGAATATTCGGAAAATAATTTTGGATTGTAAATTGTATGCTTTAAGAGTAGATTTCAGAGCACTACCTAGGTACTAAAGTAATGGAAAATAAAGTTCTTTAATTTTAATTAAATTTGTAAGACATGTAAGTAATTTTATTTACCACTGCATCACTATCATAATTATTAACTTCAACGATAAAGTCGTGAGGGGCAATGGACATTATTTCCAAGTCCTCAAGAGAAGGTGATGGAGGTTTTCCGCCACCCCCGGTCTTTGATTGTTCCCTCCTATATGTGTATAAGTTTGATTTAGCACACAACTTCATTCTTTTCCAAGATAATTTCAATTCACCATCTGATCGGCGTTTACCTGTTAGCTCATTAAATCTAAAAAAAATAATACGAAATCACGTAAACAATACCGTACCTATTTGTACACATAACAAATGCGATAAGTACTTACTTATTAGTTATATTCTTCCACTCTTTTATTTTTTGAATATTTACCGATGTTTTTGTCGACTTATTCTCTATTATATGTGCTGATTGTGAAATAAGTGTACGTAATATTTCCTATAATAATAAGAACATTCCTTTTAGTTGAAATAAGGATAATAGGAGGATAAGAGTATTGCTACGTACTGACAAATAAATTTCGATATTTCACTAACTTTTTCTTCAGAACTCCAATTTTCACCCCGTTTTTTCTTTTGTTCCATTATTATATAAATATAATTGTAATAGCAAGTACTTAATTAATTATTAATAATTTAATTTACTTATTATAAGGCTGCAATATAAACTATTTTGAACGTCTCGAATCCCGCGCTCGCGTTACCTCTGTAATTCACTACATTTCACGCTAGAGTTGTTAAACTGAAAACAACTTGATATAATCAAAAGCGCGTCAAAAGTATATGTCGTGCTTGTTCAATAGATTTTAACGTAAACAAATAACAATGTATGATATGTTTTTGTATTGATGGATAATTATTTAAGCATAATTAAATGTGAAAATAATATTAATATTTTATGAAACCGAACGTTGCATTGAATGAAACCTGTATGAACGAATGATAGAGTGTCATTTTTTGTTTTTTATCTGTGAATGATATTTAATATAATACTAACGTTGGTATTAACTGGTCCTCGGGTAGTCTGCGTTTTGTAATAAGCACACGTTTTAGTGCTGGTATTAACTAGAATATTGTAACAAACCTGGACTTCTTACTCCTAAACTTAACCCAGTACTAAAACATTTTTTTGGAATAAGACTGCAAAAGTCCCGGACTGAAAACGCTCCAACCAACTTTGTGTTACTCTTACTGATACTGCATTAGGTCCATAGACGTCACAAATTTTTTTAGCGGCTTGAGTTGCATTTTTCCCTTTTTTGTAATAAAACTTCAGAATTTATCGAATTTCTTTGTTAGATTCACTCATTTTGTCGGACAAATAAGCAACTGAAAAATGGCGGAAAAGTGTTTTGTACTTTTTATGTTTCTCTTTGTTAATGTCCTATATGTATTCATAATAAAACCACCCAGATACAAAAAGGACAACCAAAGAGATTTTTCTTGAATTTTATACAAATAAAACACGAAGAAACTTTTCCCCGATCTCTTATTAGAAAAATGTAGATTAAGACTATAGTCAATTTCAAGACGCGATTAATGCTCGGGGCACGCTCGGATAGCAGTTCCTCTACCGCTGCGGGCACTTGTAAATATCACTCCATGAGTTCTTAGCCTAAAATGTAATAATAATTCTTATGTTACATCTGTCATCATTCTCATATTATCTATAATATAAAAATGAATCGCTGAATGTGTTGCTAAGCGCAAATCTCGAGAGCAGCTGAATTGATTTCGCTAATTCTATAATTTTCATAATATTCCTTTAAGTACGAAGATGGTTTTTACGAAGAGAAAAATTTAAAAAATTGCCTGAAAAAGTCTAAAAGCAACACTTTTCTGTATTCCCATACAAAATATTCGTAACAATACTTGAAGTCAATTTGAACTTTAAAACCATACCATAAAGTTTAAATTTTAGTGGAGGGGTTCCGGGAAGGCAAAACAATTGAGTGACGTTAGTATAGTATAAATATTAATGTCAATATTTATACACACTGGCAGATAGCTGATGCTATAAGGAGTAACTTGGGCTGCTTTTATTTCAGGGTTCCGCGAATAATAACTCCACGCGGGCGAAGTCGCGGGGAACAGCTAGTTATATTATATTATTATTATATTACATCCCAGTTCAAAGATAATTAATTTAAAGATAAGAAAACATTAATATCCTCCATGCCGCATTTCGTTCATGACGGTAAGTCTCAACGGAGACTAGCCATAATCACAGGACAGGATTATAGTGTTGCATTCTCTAATCCTTCTTTCTCATAGTCCGGTGGGAAGGTCCTACACGATAAGAAAGAGATTAGGCGCAGGACCTTTGGCATAACATTTTACTTTTCGAGGCAAAGAAGTGAAACATCCGCAACCTCCTCAATTTGGGCTGCTACTGGAAATTTTGGAATGAAAAACCCAATTACTGATTTTTGGCTCAACCCGGAAGTTTTACCCACGACATCATCAACAAGGCAGTCAATCACTATGTGAATTCGTAATAAAATGGAACGGAATCTTTTAATGTAAAGCCACGTATCTACCAAAAATGTTGACAACAGTTATGTTTCCAACAAGCGTCTCTATCGAGGGAACAAATGTTGGCAACAAGCGTATTCCTTTGATGTTACCTCCGAAAATGGAAACAAGTTTTGTTGACAACTGTTGTGCTGGCAACAAAACTTTGGTGGAGACGCGGCTTAATATTCAACAACTGGTTGACTTGAAAATTTGCACTTGTATCAAGGACGAATGACAATACAATAATTTTATAACTTTATCATAGTCTCCTGATCAGAATCACCAGGACAAAATAAAATAATAATCAAGATGATGAAATTATTTTATTTTCAGCTCATGATCAATGCGTGTTGTTTAGGTTTTTTTGAACTGTTATATTATTTACGATTTATGCTTCTCCACTGTCCCATACTTGGCAAATAAAAAGTTCATTCATCACTATGTTAATTCACTATTATACCGAGTATATTTTTAATTATATACTATTAATTATATATATATATATATATATATAATTAATAATACATCGACAATTACAATTTTAGGCTGATGATTAACTTACGGTTACCATAACATACTCGTACTTCGTGGAAATGCATTTATATTTAAAGTACTGTTACAGAATTTTCGTGAGCGTGCATTTCTTTTGCGTCTGGATTAGTTACTTGATCACGAGCTTGTCTCCTGTGTAGAAAGTAGACACATCTGAAAAATTTGTAACAATTATTAGTTGGTTTTGTTTTTCTTTTAAAACACGTTTATATTTTTTAAATACTAGTAATGCTATATTAAACATTACTAATATTCCCTTTAACCACTTCTGGTAAGCTTAAAAATGCTTGTGTTAGAAGTGATTCACGACAGTAGTCGAATGGCGGATTCGAACCCACGACCTTTCGAGTTCGCGGTCCGTGCCCTGCCAATTAGGCTACTGACGCTTCGAACGCCTCGACGCTTCGTTGCCAGGCTTCACGTATTATTATATAGATATAAGTCACCAAATATTGTAATTTTTTACTTGTGTATGAAAGTCATGATGACCATGAATGACGTTTCTGCTCAAATCTCTTTAATTTTTCTATCAAAAAAGTAGATATTTTAAATGGGTAGGGTAATACTGAAACTGTATTATGGCTGTGGCGAAAATGAATCCCCTCGGCCGGAGACAACCATACCCTGACTGAAAATAGCGGACGATAGAACCATAACGCTGTGTTCGTATAGTGAGTGACATGAACTGGACGATAAGGAGACATTATATCTTAGTGCTTAGTTAGTATCTGTACCCATAAAGCATACTTCGAGTTATAAGTTACCTACTAATTAAATGATTAATAGTAAGACACTACATAGTTCTTGGACAAATTTCAAATTCGAAAAACAAAAAAAATTGATCTGTTATATCTATAAGGGCTCGTTTAAGATACTTACAAGAATATGAAGAACGCTGGTACAGTCATAAAGCCTCCAAGTAGATAGAATGCACCAGAGAACGTGTCAAGGGTATTAGAATAAACTTTGCTGTAAAGTGGAGTATAAATCACAGGTACGATAGCTTCAACAAAACCAATCAAAGAACACATTTTACCTGAAATTAAAATTTCTAATTCAATTGCCTGTAATAATTATCAATTGGATAGTTTTAAAAACTTGAAAATATTACAGCGCAACGGCCTAACATTACGGCCCTTGAAGTATATATAACTAGAGTATTAGTAATGTACCTTACAATGTATGCTTCAATATCGTTTCCGTTAATTTAAATTATCCAAAAATAGTTTAAATTTTCTATTAACGTCGCAATGCAGTGTTAAGGGTACGTTCTCTTATATTACAGAGAGGGTAGAGAGAGAAAGAGAGAGAGAACGAGAGAGTTGAATTGATAGTTCAGCTTTTTATTAACAAGCTTCTATTAGCTTCGCGTGTAGCTATCTATCTACCACTGTAACATAATCATTTAATGTAATATTTACAAACTTGTACATTCATATCTGTAACTTGGCATAGTTATAGATATTAATAACGCCTAGAAAACTGTGACATAAACTCTTAAAAAACAATTTTTTTTGGTACTTTGGTACCATGATTTTTTTACCCGTCTATTCCATCATGTGAAATATCGTTAGATAAGTCTTTCAAAAGCACTGGGGGAGTGGAACAACATCTTTTCGATTCAAGGGTCCGCTTGCCAAATATATAGCTTTAAAGTGGTATTTTTCATTAGAGTCATGTGTCCTCCCCTCCTCTACCAACTGAACCGATGTTTTTTGGAAATGTGAAAAACTTGGCATAGTTATAGATATTATTAATCACGCCTAGAAAACTGTGACATAAAATCTTAAAAACAATTTTTTTTGGTAATTCTGACATAATTTCTTCTAAATCCTCGTTTAGTGTTAAGTTGAAAAATATAATACAGAACTTTAAAAAGTTATGACATAATATGAAAGTACATGGTAGATAAATACGCTGCATTACGAATTGGTCGGCTTGACCGGGGAAGGATCTCGCTTGTAAAGAATAACAGCGTGAAATATCAGAATAATGCTGCTATGTTTCGTATTGTGATTAACGAGATCTGGAGAAGCTTTTGGTAACGAAGTAGTCCATCTTAGTCCTCAGAGATGACAAATCGTTTCATTTCCTAATTAATGATAGATGCAGGTATCCACCCATCACAGAATCCACTTACCATCAAGTGTAGTGTGTGCTCCTTTGTCACGCTTGCATTCTCAGATTCTCATTCTTAAAATAAGCTTTTGATAAGACAATAACGCAAACAATTATAAAAGTTATGAAAGTGTATACTGAATTATGACGTAATTTTCTAAATCGCTATAAAATTCGAAAGGAAGATCCGTCGTGTGTTTTGTGTTGTTGTATTTCACCTTGAAGCGGTTAGAGACGCCCGTCAATATTATTATTATAACAGATTATAAAAAAACAAGATGGAGTGGGTGTATACTACTATGTACTAGGAAACTTGTTTTTAAATACAAAATTATAATAATTTACAATACAATCAAAATTCCTTCTAAACATCTTTCGTATACCTATATTATTGTTAATAGCAATTGATGAAAATAAAATTACAAATGTTATTGTTTTTATTAATAATTGTCGTTCCGTTATGTCGACTGAGCCCTTAGTTTGTAAATCAATTATCAAAATCTGTCCTTTGAGTAATAAAGGAAATATGTGGTTAATATGTTACTTACAAAGTTATTATGCCAGTTGAACACAATTATTGATTTAAAATTGTACTTACCAACTTTATCTTGGTCTACAACCTTTGTTCCTAGTGATCTGATAGCTGTTGTTCCTGAATTTCCAAAGAAATCGAAAGCTGGACCACTATAGAACCACGCTTTTGAAGGCGCCAAGGAGTAAACAAAACTTGACATAACTTTGCATGTTGTGGCTATAGCACCTATCAATGCATCATGCATTTTCAGCCATTTGCTGAATACTGTCACAGCTATTGTAGTACCTAAAACAAGTGTATAATTTTCTTACTTTTTTCCGCATTGAGAAAAATAAATAAAAGAGATACTGTTATAAGTAAGAAAAGCAATATGTGGCAATAGGAAGTTAGGGATGCCCGGTATTATAGAATATATTGGAGTCCCTTAATAACACTATACGATATGTCGATATTTTCTATCTATACACAGCAAAACAACCCGCAACACTAATATAGTTGTATTCATACAAAACTATCGTAAAAACGTATTGTACTAAAATTAATTTTTGCTTTAACGGTTGCTGTGGCCCATAGACATCTACATTTATCCTCGATTACGAATCAAAATGCAGATGCGTTGTCATCCGTGAGGACTAAGACGGAATGCCTCGTTTCCAGTAAAAAGGGTCTCCGGTTCTCTACACTCACCATATGAAACACAGCAGCATTAAGCTGCTATTTTACGCTGGTATTCTGTGAGAGCGTGGTCCTTCCCCGGTCGAGCCGACCCATTGATGTTACAAATATACCAGAAATATAGCTGCAGCATGGCTCTACCACGTAAAAAAATTGTCAATAAGTTGAATTAATTATTATTTTACTTACCTGCTAAGCCCATCAGAATAGAATACGTGGAAAATAAGCTAAACTCCACAATATTCATATTAAATTTCTTTAAAGTATATAAATACATAACACCAGCTTCCCCTGTTGAGCAAAGAAAAAAAAGTATTTAGTAAAATAAAATAAAATATTATGTTTTGAGCTGTATAGAAATTGCAAAAAAAATCTTACCATAAACAGGTCCTATGATAACAATATGGGCCCAAATAACAAGAATTATTTGGATGAGTTGTCTCTTGCGGGTCAAAAATAGAAGTGATATCGTATCCCAAACATGTTTTGGGTGGAAAAATTGTATGACTTTTTGAATAAAAGTACCTTCCATGTCAACTCTTCTAACGTCATGTACTCTAAAATATGTCTGAATAAATGCTAAGATATACAATAGTGTTCCGATCCCAAATATTCCATAATAACCAACGGCTTCTGTTAATACTCCACTTATAGAAGAACCTAATGGAATCCCAAGTGTCACTATAACAGCCACAACACCTATTCTAAATGTCCGTGATTCTACTGTTGTAACGTCCGCAATGTAACTGTAAGAACCCATTAAAGCAATAGATATTCCACCTGAGAAAGCAGAAGGCAAAGCTTCTATTAATGCTGTCACCCATAAAGGCCACTCTAGAAAAAAGTAAGTTGCTAAAAGTAATCCTATAGCTGATATAAGTTCTCCAATAATAGGAACAAGCATAAGAGCCTTTCGGTTTCCAGTTTTGTCACTCCAAGCACCGACAAATAATATTGCAATTGCCGGAATCCCGCTTTGTAATGGTTGCTTCCATGCAGTCATATCAGCCACCATTTTTTGTGCACCATTTAACGCATTTGTTGTGACGTTGTCCGTAATATTACCACTAAGTGCTAATGAGCAAATCTCTTCCGTAAAGTTTAAATCAGAACGACAAGCTTTTTCCATATTCAGCTTTTGTACTGCTAAGGAAGATATTACATTTGGCATAATGTAACAAAGCAAAAAAGGTTCGACTGTGAAAAATGTTAGAACTTTTTTAACTTTATCCAAACAGGAAATATTTTCAGATTTTTCTTCTTTTCCGTCACTAATTTCTCTCTTGTCATTGTTCCCATTTTGATCTTGATTAACAATTTCCGTGAGTTCTAGTTCGCTTACAGTTTTGTTGTTCATTTTTATATTTAACACATTATTCTTGCTGAACACAATTCCAAAGTCTATGTATTTCTAAACACCGACCGCAACTGGCTTATGGCGATCTCGTAACTTTAATCAAACTTGTTTTTTGTTTAAATGTAATAGGTACCTACATTAAAACATGTTCACGTTCATCGCATCCTTCAAGGTGATCACAAAACCAAAGTTCAAGTGCAGCGCGCTTTTTAATGTGTTATCAAATTTGATGAAAAAAATCAATAGATAAGAGTTAAAACCTAAAATATCATATTATATGAATGTAGATTATGTCTTTACAGTATCGTATTATATATATATATAGTTATTAATGTCTAATTAAATAAGCTAATATCTACTTTAGTGGTTATGTTTTTATCTTGTATTATGATATTATAAGTATAATTATTATATATAAACATAAAAAACTCATATTGTACTTCTTTATTAAATTAATCAAACTCAGTTTTCAGTAATTTTTAATTTTTTATGTATTTCGGAACAATACCATTTTTATCTATTATTAAACGTCATCACTTAAGTTAAATAACCATGGTATCTCATGGTAACGCACTCGTCGTAAATATCATAGTACGACAGTAATAAATACTTAATTTTTTTACAGCACAAGGGTGACAAACGAACACAGTCCACCTGATAGTAAATAGATGCCATGGCCCATAGACATTTATATCTATCATCGATTGGGAATCAAAATGCAGATGCGTTGTCACCACTGAGCACTAAGATGGAATGCCAGTTTACCAGTCAATGGGGTCTCTGGTTCTTTACACCATCATATTCGAACCATAGCAGCATTATTTTACTGTTTCACGCTGGTATTCTGTGAGAGCATGGTCCTACCCCGGTTGAGACGGCCCATTTCGGCTGCAGCTATGAAAAGCTTAGGCATGGCTCTGCTACGTAAACTATTTATAACATAGATACAGAGCAACAGAATATTATTTTTGTTGATTTTTTTATTTTGAAAAGTGAATTACACCGTCGGTATTGTTTCGGATATTTAAAAAGTTAAAGCGTTGCGTTTGATTAATATGTTGCTCGTAATTGGTTATGCATTCTAAATAATATTTGTGGGGCGGCTACTTTGCTCCATAAAATTTCGAACAGATTGCCAAAATGAAACCAGGAAAAACAAAATTGTTGGCGACGCGTTTAAAAAATAGTTTATCATTTTCATTCCTTACAAAAATAAATAATTTAACATTTTGAAGACATTGCTATTCAATTGTATAAGGCACTTCAATAAAGAGATAATCTATGTTAAAAGTAAATAGATTCAATATAATGTCGAACGAAAGTTCAGGGTTAGATTCCCCGGTCGAGCGTTAATTCCACAAAAGTTTGTTTTTAGATTAATTTAGAGTCATGTGTTACATAGTAACCGGCTATGCATTACAAATAGGGGTTTTATGTTAAATAAGATACTTATTTTAGATGAAAATATATTTGGCTATTCTGATAACTGATAAGATTCATTATGGCTGATAAGGATAGCATATGTAAACAATATTGTTTCATAATGAATAGAGTTTAGACGTAACTTAGACAAGGAAAGCATTAGCCTCCTTTTTTTTTCGCGCCCAGAAGCAATGGAAAGGGTTACCCTCCGGGAAGCGAGGAAGGGAGGTGGTAAATGCTCTAAGCATACCATGACAGCCGCCTGCGTGGTTATGTGGGACTCACTGCGAAACCTAAGTGTCTACCCACTAAACACCACCTGTGAGACTGGCATTGGCTTGTGTGGACTTTCTGCTGAATCGGAAGCGATCCCCTTTAGGGAAAAGAGGGCGCAGGCGGCGAGGAGCCGCTGAGAGGTGAGCCTAACTAAGGCAACTTAAGAACGGGGAGAAGAGTCGGCCTGAGCCGCCAGGAGGCAGTTCAGGTCGGCCGAAAGCTTGTTTAGGGGGTCCGAGAGAGAGTTTCTCGGTCTTCAGACTCGATAGCGAAAGGGAAGTGGGGCTGCATAGGAAGCAGCCTCACGAATAAGATGATTGGGGTGAAACTCTGAGGCTTTGAAAAGTTCTCAGAGAGTGTTTTTAGAAATTGCTGGACTGTGGGGAGCTCTAAGTCTCGATGGCGGTCGGCGTTACGGACGCACCTGGGTGCGTTCGTAGCCACGCGACAGAAATGTTTTTGAAATATTTGAAGTTCGTTAAGGATTTTGGGGTTAGCTTGAGCAAATATGGGGCCCACGTAAGTCATAACTGGTCGTATACAGACCTTATAAAGGGTTCGCTTGTTACGGAGGGACATTTTACTGCGTTGGCCCAGCGTACTGTCGTTTATGATCGAAGTGAACGGCGGAGCTCTTCTCCGGGTTCACATCGATACGCCATTTTTGGAACCAAGCTCCTAAGTCATTTACTGACTTTTGGATCTTGTTCCGTATGAAAGGTAGTGAGATACTTTTACAGTAAAGGGTAGTGTCGTCTGCAAAAAATGAGAGCTGAACACCATTCGACGGGATGGGAATGTCGTTGGTGAACAGGATATACAGCAGAGGGGCAAGCACTGAGCCCTGGGGACACCGGCTTTGATAGGACGTTGAGAGGAGAGTGTGCCTTCGTGTCTAAAACGAAAGGTACGATCCTTCAGGTACACAGCCACAGGCCACGAGACGAAGAAGACGATCAGGGAGACAGATTTTATAGAGTTTATTTATAAGGCCTTCGTGCCAGACTCTATCGAATGCCATTGCTATGTCGAAAAAGACCGCGATGGTCTTATGACGACGAGAATAAAAACCGCTGAGGATATATTCCACAATACGGTGAACTTGTTGGGGACAAGAGTGTTTCGCTCGGAAACCAAATTGGTGGGGGGTGATAAGAGGGTCGCCGTCTGTGGTAAACAGATGGAGCCTCATGCGAGTGAGGATGACTCGTTCGTAGAGTTTGCCCATGACCTTGAGGAGGCTGATGGGACGGTGACTGGAGGGGAGGTTGTGAGGCTTTCCTGGGTTGGGTATACCAATGACAGTTGCCTCGTTCCACGTGGTGGGAAAGTAACTGAGATTGAACCAGGCATTGAAGATAATAGCTAAAAGGGTTAACACCTACTCAGGAAAATGTTTTAGGACTTGATTGGAGATGCCATCCACGACCGAAGCCTTTTTGGGCTTCAGTCCTTTGATGATGGATGAGATCTCATCATCGGACATAGTGATAGGGTCAGAGGCTGTGGGAGGTGAGTTTTGGCGGCGGACCTCATCCCCCACTGTTTGGATGTAGGAGGGGTCGGTGGGTTGTGAGCTAGGAGAGCATTGAGCGGCGATGCTGTCTGCAAAGCACTCAGTCTTTTCCTCGTTTTCGAAGGCAATAGTACCGTCGGGACGGGAGAGGGGGAGTGTGAGTGATAGCGTCTATGCGGAGGGCTCTCGTCATCTGATACTACGCTGTATGTGATGGAGATGCATTCTCCATGAGATTACTCTTTTCGAGGTCTCGAAGTTCGTAGAGGCGTGAACGGACTTCTCGTTGAAGACGATTGGCCGTACGCCTATAGTCGGGGGTGGGATAGAGTGTTTCGGGGGTGGGATAAAGAGTTTATGGTGAGCTACACATCTCCCGTATTTGTTTAAATAAAATTCGTAAAAACTGAAAGAAAGCTATTGTATTAATGTGGGTTACATCTACCTAGTAATTTGTCATCGTACGATGCCACGAACTATCCCATTATAAATAGAGATCAAAATCTCAAAGTGCACTTAATTTTCAATTACCTATGTACATCAGTTAACTTGATAACAAATGAGACAACCAATATATTCAACTAAAGAGCTTATCAGCGACAGTAAGTTGAGGTGATACTGGGGTGGCCGCATATCTCTTTATACCTTTATAGGTACAATATATAAATTCGGCATAAAATGATGTAGATTCTGTCAAAAACTTTGTATCTATTAATATCATTAAACGATCTCTATTATTTGGTCAAGCTATATCATGACGTGGTCAACAAACTGTTAAATTTTATGAAATACCACAATTTGCCCAAATCATTCCAAGTCACTGTTCTTACTTTGAGGAAACATTCTCACTAGACTGTGTTGATGCTATCTTAATATCTGAGAGTTGGCTAAAACCATCTATTATGTCGAGTTTATACCCATTACCCAATTTCATTCTTATACGTAATGATCGGACTGAGAAGGGGGGAGGTGGGGTCACTATATACCTCCGATCAAATATTCCTTATAAAGTTGTTCTATCTTCCCCATCTCCCTATTCTACCACTGCTGAGTTTTTATTTCTAGAAATCAACATTATGGGTACGAGGTCAATTTTAGGTGTTGTAGATTGTCCTCCTGCTGTGAATTACTTTACCTCAATTGAGACAGCTCTTGATATCATTGGATCTGACTACATATACTGCATGATATTGGGTGATTTCAGCACTGATCTGTTAAAAATACTTCTTGTTCCCAAAAACTTCGAGCAACCATTGAATCAGTCGAACTCTGCATTCTTCCACTGGCGGCAACTCATAGAAATACTGACACTGATGATTCGTTGATTGATCTCATCATTACTTCCTCTTCTGATCATGTGATTCAGTTTGGACAGCTCTCTGCTCCTTGTTTCTCACGACATGACTTGATTTACTTTTCATATAAACTCAAACCTCCAAAACAGAAGCCTATTTTTCTGCAGTTACGCAATTTTTCTAAAATAAATATTCAGAGTCTCAGGAGAGACGCATCTGCAATTGATTTTGGCCCTTTGGTGGCAGCTTCTAACATCGATGATAAAATATCCTTTCTTAATAATACCATCCTGAATTTGTATAATATTCATGCACCAGTACATTGTGTAAAAGTTACGCGTCCTCCTGCTTCCTGGACGACTAAAGGGGTCCAGGTGGCAATGGCACGGCGAGATTGGGGTTTCCAGAAGTTTAAAAAGGATCGCTCTGAACAAAATTGATGTAACTTTAAATTGCTAAGAAACAAATAAAATCAGGTGGTACGAAATGCT